GTCAACACCCACCACAGACCTCACAGGGGGCCATTTCCACAGGGAGTGGGACCTGTAGGCTCGATGGGAACCTGTGGTGATGCCGAGCACCCCGAGGAAGCAGAGCCAGTGAACGGGCGGCCATAGAGACAGTGCTGAGCCGGCTGGGGAGAGTGGGAAGGAAGTGGAGCTATAGGTCGAGAAAGACAGGGAGACGCCGGGAGTGGCAGGGGCCGTGGGAGGCAGGGAGACAGGAGCCCGGTGAGTCAGCTCGGTGGGTTGCTTTGAAACGCGGCAGGGAAGCACAGGCAGGGCAGGTTCTGCCGCAGCCTGGGGAGCCATCTCCCCTCAGCTGGCACCTTCTCCATCCCTCCCTGCTCAGTCAAGGAAAGCAGATCGCCCTCCAAACTGGGGCAGCCTGCAGAGCCACTGCTCCCTCCTTCCAAGATAATGCTGGCACGGAGCCACTCTGGCTCCTGCCGCTGCGGTGAAGTGTTTCCTCATCTAAACAGGAGAGCTGCCAAAATCTGGCTTGGAAGCAGGGCTTTCCAGTGGCCAGGTTTGGCCCCAGAGCTGGCAGAAGAGGGTGACCAGGGCAGCTCTTTGCTCTGCCAGCCCGTGCCACCCCAGCAGTGCTCACATCCCCCTGACCTCCGCGGCACCGCGGGCCAGCGCTCACGCAAACGCCGTGCTTTGGGTGGGAAGCTGCCCGCGGAGCCAAGAGCAGCCCCCCGGGCAAGGCACGGTGTGTGCGTGCAGGCGGCTGCCGCCGAAACCCGGCTGAGTCACCCCCGCTGCCGCGGGCGTGCGATGGAGCGCGGGCAGGACCGGAGCATCTCCGGGAGCACCTCGGCTCCTCGCAGACAGATGCTGAGCTGCAGCACAGAGACAGCCAGGGGGAAGGAAAGCCGGGGCTGGAAGCAGCATGTGCCCAAGAAGAGGGTTTCTTCCAGAACAGGGGAACATTGTGATTTTCTGTGGGATTTTAAGATGCAGTCCCCACAGTCCTGAAAGACCCTGTAGCATGTTTGACCTCCACTGGTTAATCCAAGGAGGCAGGAGGTTGGAAAAGGCTGCACAGGAGATACTCTCTCTTGCTCTAATCTTTCCTGAGGTTGCAATCAGAGCATCTTCCTTCTGTGAGGTGGCTGGCATCTGACCCCAGGGTTTCTGGTGGCCTGGCGGTGCCTACTCCTGGGCTTTGTGCTCACCATCCCACCTCGGATGGGGCACATTGAGAGTTTCAGGGAAGGGATGTCACACCAGGGTGTGTCTTGCAGAGTAAGCAGTGTTTTGACACCCAGACTCCTCCCCACCTCTCCCAAAATGCCTCTTGAGAGAAGCGTGGAGGCTCACAGCCAAGGGGGTGTCAGCTAGGTTTTTGGGTGACCTGCAGCAACCCAGGTGTCCTAGCCATGGTGTGTCAAGAATGCTACAGACCCTGAAGGTGAAGGTTCATCTTCCCAAGGGTATGAAGCTGTGGCCTCTCCTGTGTGGTCAGTAAACTTGTATAAATCCCCCCACCTAAGTTCTGCTGGGAATTGGAAATGAAAGGTTGCACGGCCAAGCTGCTGTACCAGCCAGGTTCTCATCTCTGTCTCGCCTGGCTGGGCTCAAAATCATGAGAAGGGGCCAGAAAAGGGGTCCTGGGTGACTGCTCTCAGCCTTGTGGGCAGAGCACCCCCAGGCCTTGCAGGTGGACCTGCTGGACTCCCTCCATTCCCATGCCAGAGGAGTGATGTCTGGGGACAAGATGCCACTGGGAGTTGAGCAGGAAGGTCCCTTTGCTGGATTCCATGCTAAAGGCATTGCCCTGGCACTGCTGAGGAAATGTGCCTTTCAATATCATTCAGTTCTGACAGGCTGTGCAATCAAACCCTCATCCCTGCCTGGGCCATCCTGCTGATTGTGGTGAAAAGTAGCCTAGGCAAGAAGAACAGACAGGGCAGCCTGGGATCACAGCTGAAATATTCCCTGTGCGCAGATCAAACTGAGCCATTGTTCCCTGAGCAGTGCCTTCCTTACACCTCCTTTCCCGAGTATCTCTCCCCCTGCTCTCCTCAAGCCCAGCTCCTTCCCTTGCTCCCTACACCTGGTCCTTGCCCCTAAGCACACTGTCCCCACTCCCTCCGGGCTGCCGCATCAAGGGGGTGATGCTGGCAGTGGCATGGGGTCCTCCAGAATGAGTGGGATGAGTCCACCTGCCCCTCCCCCATGGCCACCCATCCAAACCCACACAGGGTTACTTTGGGAAGGGACGGGGTGTGATTGAGACAGCGACACACGGCTGCTTCTTTCTTTGATCCCATCTCTTCTCTTCACTCCCAAATTATCTGAGTGAAATGAAACACATTTTAGTAGTCAAATCTGTAAGGGTGGGGTCACACTATGCTTTGACCCTACGGGGAATTTGGTACATTTGATTTGATTTACACCCGAAATATTAATTTAACATGCTAGATTTTCTCCCACACCCAAGCAATGCTGAAAATTAAACAAGATCCTACAGAAATGTTTGTGCCATTACTTCGTTAGCATCATTATTTATCGAGTTTAATTACAGTGCTGAAGCTGTACATGCAACATTTGCTCCAGTGGGAGCATGGAGAAGGATATGGCCATCCAGTGTCTGTGGGCTGCCTTGCTGAAGACAAAGATCCCCAAAGATCCCACTTCGTGGTGCTGCATGTGCCTGCCTGCAATGGTGTTGGTGGGGTCATGCCGCAAGCATGCTTCACAGGCTCCTCCAGGTTAGAAAACACCAAGGAATGGTATTTGTAGGAAAGGCAGTATGGTTTTCCTATGGGCTCCAGCCAAACAACACTGACAGTCAACAGTCTGCATTTCCACCTTGCAGCTCAGCAGGTAGGCAGCCCACTACCACTGGAATGCTCTCCTCCGTGGGGCTGCTGCCTGTCTGCCCAGCTCCTCCTGCCCTGCCAGAGGCTCCAGGACTTTCCACTCTGTGTCTCCAGTGGTGCTGGGCACACCTCAGCCCTGACCACTCGTGTCAAGGCTCCAGAACTGATGATATTATTATTATTGTTGTTATTATTCCTGATTCAGCCATGCTTGTAACTGCACGTCTGACTTGGAGCACCCGATGGAAGTGAAGTGTGTGCTCCAGGACCTCATTAAATTGAGAAAGCCCAGATGACAGTGAAGTCGTCTCAGCAAGCTTTTGGCTTGGGAGCGCTCTGATTAATGTCATTTGCTACCTCTTTCGCTTAAAAGACAAGGAGTCGTTAAAATAAAAGAAACCTCAAGTTGAAAGCACTGAAAAAAAAAAATCAATTAAGCCCCACATAGCTGTATTTTGTCCTGGAGCAAAATCTCAGACATAACAGAGAAATTACATAGCCTGAAAGAGAAAGAGAGAAAGGGAAGGTTTTTATGTGCGGTCTTGCTGAGGTATTGCCCTAAGCCATGCTGAGGTGGCTTCTCACCTGGTACCTGTGGAAACTGTAAGCTCCCCACAGGAGTATGGGGAGCAAGTAGGTGCTGGGAGACCCTGATGGAAATACAGATTGCTGGAGGAGCTCTCTGACAGTGCATCACCTGATGTGGGGCTGGAGCTTTACCCCTGGGGCTCCAGGCTGTCCCACACCCCCAGGCTCAGACCCCCATGAGATCTCACGCCCAGGAGGCTAAAGGGGACATGCATCCAGCAGAGCTCTTTCATTTGGCCATATTTGAAGGTGTGTTCCTTTCAGAGGCTCCAGGTCCAGCCCCTGAAGTTAAATCTTGGTCTCAATGAAACCGACAGTGAAACTCCCATCAATTCCCCCTGTCCTGTGGGAGGAAAGCGACTCCTCAGAAAGGAGTGACTCCATTTGAAAGGCCTCTTCCTTCATGTGGGGAAACAGCTCCTGGTGCTCATTCCCGCAACTGCTCCAGCCCAGTGCCGTCTCTGCTGCAGGGATGAACCAAGTGCGTCTCCACTGCTTTGAATAAAAAAGCAGATTGAAGAGGAGGCGGGAATCCCTGAATGTTGTTAAAACACCCAAGGCCACGTTAGGCGCAGTCTCTGCTCTGCTCGCAGACGTCTTGTGGGTTTTCTTCTGTTTCTTTTGCTTCCTTCCCCAATACCCTAACCTCTTGTCTTTGTTTCATTTCCACTTTGGGAAGAGGGGAAAGACAACAAGGGACAAATAAAATTAAAAAAAAAAAAAAAGTAGTGGGGGAGAAAAAAGTCTGTGACACGTTTTTAATTCTAAATCAATGACTGAAAAAGAATAAAAATCTTTTTTTCTCTTTTTTTTTCTGAACAGAAGAAAAGCTAGTCATTAAGAAAAAATAATAACAACTTTCTCTTCCTGCTGCTGCCCCGAGGACAGCTCGGCCTCTTTCCCGGCACCTCGGCAAGTCTTCCCCTCGACGGGCTGTCCCGAGGCTGTCTCTGCTCAGCCCCCCGTGGGCGGCGGGACCCGTAGTGGAGAGCGGGGAGCACTCCCGGCCCCCGTTCCCGGCAGGGTATCCCGGTGCGGCGGCGGAGAGAGGGGCAGCGGGTCCGACCCGGCGGGGGCTCCACCGGCGGGGCGCGGGCAGGCGGCAGTGGCAGGGCTCCCTCCTCCTTTGGGTTTTTTGATTGGTTTTGTTTTTGGTGGTTTTTTTTTGTTGTTGTTTTTTGTTTCTTTTTTCTTAATTTTCAGACGTTAAATTCTTTCGCAAACATTCATGCCTTAGGAAGGGCTGGAACAAAGCTCAGCTGCTCCAACCGGTCGGACAGGTAAGCAGACTTGTTGACACCGTTATGTTTGCAGCACGCATGCTCCTTCCCAAGTTTCCTGGTGCATTTTTCTATTCCACCTTATGAAACTTTCCTTCCCTCCCCCCCCCCCACCTTCTCCCCTCTCCTCCCCTCCCCTTCCCCTCCCCGCGCCTCAGCGGCTCTGCCCGGTGCGTGCGGTCCCGCTCCCCCGGACGGCAGCGCAGCGCCCGCGCCCCGTCGGGCTGCGGCCGGGCGGCGGGGCTGAAGCGGCCGCTCCGCTCCGTGCCCAGCCGTGCCCCCTGCCCTCGCCATGCCCAGAGCCTTCCTGGTGAAGCGCCGGAGCCCGCAGCCGGCGGTGCGCAGCTGGGATGGGCTGCCCGACGAGGAGAGAGCCGACACCTACATCCCAGGTACGGCGCCGGAGGCCGCCGCCCTGCGGGACGGAGGGAGCGGGGTCCCCGCGGTCGGCGGAGGGGGCGACTTGGGGAGGGAGCTTTGCCGGGCCGGGGTAGCCCCGAGGGGGCGGGCGGCGACTTCGAGAGGGCTGTGCGAAACGCGGCGGAGGGGACACGGACAACACTCGGGGGAAAAGTCCCCGGGCAGCGGCAGAGGTGCCGGCCCCGCCGGGCCGTGCTGCCCCCATGCCTGGCAGCGTCTCCCATCCCGGGGAGCCCCCGGAGATGGCGGGGTGAGGAGCTGGGGGGCGCGGGGGGGGAATGTATGTGTGTGTGTGTCCAGGAAGGTGGGAAACCTCGTTTGCATGAGAAAGGTGGCTGGGGGAGGAGAAGGAAAGACCCAGGGGACCCAGGGCGGGGGGGCGGGGGGAGGGTGATGTACTCCTGGCCTCCCCCTCTCCTCCTCCTCCCGCTCCTCCTGCCCTTGCCCGGGGTATAACGGGAAGGCGGCGGAGTGGCTTGTTTGAACTTTGGGACCGTTCGTGTTTGAGTTTCCGATTGCAGCGTGAGCCGGGGATCCTCCCCCGCCGCCAGCGGCCCGCCCGCAGGTTAAACACCGGGGCCCGCCGGCTCCCGCCCGCCGCCTCCCCGCCCTGCCCGCGGCTCCGGGGTCCCCCCGCTTTATCGCATCCCCACCCCGTTGCAGGCGGGATCGGCTGCGTGCTGCTGGGCTATGAAGACAGCTGCAGCCTGGAGAGCAGCGGCAGCAGCGGGACCCGGGACGCCGAGCCCAGCGACCCCCCGACGCCCCAACCCGCCCCCGGCGAGCTGGGCACGGGCGGGGGGATGCTGCTGGACCTGGCCATCAAGCGCCCCATGGTCAGGTCAAAAATCAAGGTAACCGCTCGCATCCCAACCATCTCTTCTCTGGCAGTGGGGTGACCCCAATTCAAGGTCATGGCCTGGCCGCTGCCCGGGGACACCAGGTGACAACAGTCCCTCGGGCTCTCTTTGCTAGCGGTGACAGCACCTGTCCTGCGCACCGAGGTGGAGCAGCCGGCCATAGGATGGCAGCAGGAGGGAAAGCTTCGTAAGCGATGTGCCATAATCTTCTAGTGCCCTTTGCCTTCTCTTATCCTTTCCTGGGACGTGCTGCCCCTGACCTGCTTGGCTCGGGTCCCGCAGGAGCTCTGAACCCAGCCAGGAAGGACCAGCCCTGGCAGCTAGAAGTCATGCCCCATGGTGCGTGGGTGGATCTTGTTCCTTAGCGTGGGGCCTCCTTAAAAGCTGCCTTCTAGGTTGTACTCAAGCCTTCACGAAAAGGCTGGGGTGCCTCTTCACGCTTTCCCCCTCTCTCCTTGGGCTATCAAGAAGCAGCTAAAGTTTCTCCTCCATAGCTGTGAAAGACCATTGCCACCTTGAGGTAGACCTTGGGTGAAATGAAGCAGTCATCTGTCCACTGACTGACTGAAGAGCGTCCCTGCTGCATGGGCAGGAGCTCTGCCTGTCTGGGCGTTTCCTGGACACAACCTGCAGAGCAGGGCAGTGATTTCCGTCCCAAGGCTGAGAAGGCAAATTGATCACGGTCCTCAGGTCGTCGTGGTACCTGAGAACTCAACACCGAGCTTGCAAACAGCGCAGAGTCTCTCTCTGAGCATCCAGGATCCCCTCAGCAGAGGTGGAGCCAGGCCACCCCAGTGCTAGGCAGAAGGAGATGTGTTTACCACTGGTAGTTAACACCTCGTTAAATCCTGGCTACTGCTTTGCTGGATGGAGCTGTAAAAATTACCATTGTCTGTGCCGGGCTGACAGCTTTTCAGTCTCCGTGTTCTTAAGTCTCATGATTAGATTTCACCTCGGCTATATGCAGATGATTGGGGTGGAGTCATAGCCCTGTTGCCCAACAGATTCTTCCCAGATGGCTCCCCCTCCAGTTTCACACCTCGTGGTTTCACAGCTGCCGTTTTATTTAATCTTTCTTTACAATTTCGAGTAGCGTTGCTTCCGTAGTAAGCAGAGGAGGAGGAGGAGCGGTAAAAGTAACTGGCACTTCAGGAAAAAGAACGGACGTATTCCTGTCTTTCTAAAAGCCCTCCCTGCTGCTGTTTGACTTTAACCTACTTTGTATAATTTAACCTGGGTTATTCCTGACTGTCACAGTAAAACCTCGTTTCAGCAGAGGAGGTTTTTTTCAGCCGATGGATGTGTGCACGTGGTCCTGCCTGCTCTGCTGGCTTTCCCTCATCCCGGGCGTCTAACAGGGGCCATGTCCGTGTTTATTCCACCAGGAATAATTAAACCAGCAGCGCAGTATTTACACTTTCCAGACATTAAGCCTTCCCTCTGAGGAATGATCTTCCCAGGAGCTGAACCATCAGTGTCTTCTTTAGTCAAGTTATGCCATGGTGTTGGCGCAATGCTTTCGGTGCTAGGAGCGGGAATGAGATTACCCCCTAATGTCGCTTTGCTGTTAATTAACGAGCCGGGGACACCAACGGGGGAAGATTAGGCCCATTGTTTCAGTCTCTGCTGAGTCAGCACAACGTGCCTTGGGTTTATCTCTCCAAAACCACCTTTTTTATCACTGCTGGCTGGTTTTTGAGGGACCTGGAGCAGTTGGCGGCGTGACTAACGAAGGCAGCACATAAAACAACTCTCTTGCACCAGAGAGGACTTCCCTTCTCCATCTAGGATATCAGCTGAGTGCAGGAGCAAACACACGTGTGGTCCCAGAGAGGGACTTGGAGCCTAAGCCCTTGTGTTCATGGATGTAGCTGGATAAGGGTTGCTACCTCTGGAAGGAAACCGCTACACAGAATTTGGTTTAACACCTGAATCCAAGCTGGCCAGAGATGCCTCAGTCCCAAGCTGTGCACATTAAGTTCCCTGCTTGATTGCCAGGAAAGCGTGAAGGTTTCACCCAGCAGGAAAATCTTGAATGCTTTCACTTTTAATTTTTAATATATACCCACCCCCCCCCCCCCCTTTTTTTTTTTTTTTTCCTAATGCCACAATAAGCCCTTCTTGTTTTGCTTTATTTCTTCTGTTGGTCCCCTGTTGTTCATCCCAATGCTCACACAGTCCTCTCCCACTCCTCAGTTCACCACTGGGACCTGCAGTGATGCCACCCTGCATAGCTGCGAGCTGTGTGGCAAAGGCTTTCGCCTGCAGAGGATGCTCAACCGTCACATCAAGTGCCACAGCCAGGTGAAGAGACACTTGTGCACCTTCTGTGGAAAAGGCTTCAACGACACCTTTGATCTGAAAAGGCATGTCCGGACCCATACTGGTGAGAATGCGTTCCCTGGGGACCCGCGGGAGGCTCCGGGGAGAGGGGGTGGGATGGAGTAAGGGCAAGGAGAGGGTGGGGGTAACCTGGCAAGATCGTAACACGAAGTCCCGGTTAATGACATTTGCAGAAAATAGTGGGGACGCAGTGGAGAAAAGGGGAAGACTTGAGCGTGGACAGAGAAAAATCCTGGGAATTATGGAATTTGAGGAGAGCTGTTGCAATCCGTGTGAAGCAGTGAGGGTGCAGGACCTGCCATGCACACCCGGTGCAGACACAGCCCCGTGCTGCCATGCCTGGGGCAGCGAGGCTGGGGTAACTCCCCAGGATAACCTGCCTGGGATAACCACCCCGGGACAGCCACACGCACAGTTATCCCTGCGCAGCGATCAGCGGAGGCAGGAGCTCCATGAAAACGCATGGCCCTCTAGAGGCCACGAGCAGCAGTTTCCTGGGGATTTTTGCTGTTGAGAGCCTTCGCAGCTGATTGCAGGATGGGATTCTGGCTTGATTTGGAAATGTCTGTGGAGGAACCAGAGTGTGGTTCATGCTGTGCCTCCCCCAGGCTGGAGGATGTGCTGTCTGTGGCCACTCTGCAGTGGGGTCAGTTCCTGAGTCCATCCCAAATAGCAGTGGTTGTGTTTCTGTTGCCTCAAATCCAGCTCACTTTTCCCAGAAGTCTTTAACCCAGCCTGGAGCAGGGAGACTGATGCCAGTTTCATTGCCTTTATTTTTCCTTGATGGAAGCAATGGCTAAAATAAACATCAACCCCATCCTCACCAAAGGCAATGCTTCCTGGTGGGCCAAGCTGGCTGTGCTCAGAAGGTTTTTGCTTTGCACTGTCGGGCACCCCAAAGGTGCATCCACCACATCTTTCCAGATCCCATCTTCCCAGATGTGTGGTCACCTAATGGGAGCTGGAGATTATTTGAGCTTGCTCTGCAGGGCCCCATTAATCAGGTGAACTGCTAGAAGTGCCACAAGGATGTTGGTAGGCAGGAGCTGTTTCTTGGTAGTAGAGCCCCTCAAAACAATGACAGCTGTTTGGATGGGAAGGCATTGGCTGGAGGCAATGTTTTGGGCTGTTTGGGTTTATTTGCAAAGCTTTCATGTGGGGAGGAGAGCTGCCACTGGGGTATGGCTGGAGTGTGGAGTCAGTGCCTCCAAAAGAAGTGATTTTTCAAGCTGTCCCCTCATCTGAGTCAGAAAATAAATCCAAGAGGGTCTCCTGTCAAAATAATTTAAAATGATTCCTAAATGATTTAAAATGATTCCTAAGTGATTAAGAGGTTCCCACAGCTCTGATGGGCTGTGCCATCCTGGCACTACCCTTTCTGTGCTTGTGTTCCTGCCTGTGGAGCACTGGAGCAGGCACCAAAGATGGGGGAGGTTTAAATTGCCTTCAAATGAGCATGAAACTGCTTTTTATGTGTGAATTCTAATGAAGGTTTGGGCTTTCTCTCCAACTGCAGTTTAATGGAAATGAAGCAATTTCACAGCAGCAGGCATTAGGAAACTTTTGTCTCGATAGTTTAATCTGGTGCACTGGGATAACCTCTTTCAACTGAACAATAACTTCTATTGGAACATTTAATTAGGTTGGATTTCTGGTAGAAAGATCAGCTCCTGTCTGGTAACTTAATGCAATCACAAAGTCACAAGTGTCTGAACAGATGAGTCTGGTTTACCCATTTCTGCCTGACTCACCATAGATCTGATCTTCACTGGGGAAAAGAGGGGGTTAGGTGTGACTCCTTATATCAGTTTTAAGGGTGGTCTTTGCTTGGAAACTTACTGATCTAGTCTAGTAAGTAGAATTCATGCTGGTTTATATTCTTTCAAGTGTTGATAAATCCTCAGCTCTTTAAGCACTGGGGGGGTTGTTGTTAAATCAGTGTTGATTGGTGGTAAAATTGATTTTTGTGATGTTGGTTGTCTGGGCTTTCAAATCACAAGTCAGTTTCTTCTCCCTCCTCTGGAAACACACAGAGTAGTTATTTCTTTCATCTTCCTGCACTTCTCTTCTAGAAATTTGTAATCCCAGTCATCAAATCTGTATTGTAGGAAAGCACTTGGGATCACTGTACTGATTCACTGCTGTTCACTGAAGCCCCATTAAACCAAAAGAGAGAAAATAAAATCTTACCAAGACAGAAGTTTTCATTCATTAGAAAAGCCATTATAAAAGCTGAAACGGATAGTTTTACCTAATAACAGGATTTCAAAGAGTCAGGGGTCTGAAATAAGTTTTGCAGGAGTTGATAATGGCTGCCTCAGGACCAAGCCACTGATGGGCATTTGTTATCCTCAGCACCTGCCTGCACCTTCTCAAAACATTCCTAGGTTTTCTATGCTTAAATAAATCAATCCATTCCTGAAAACCTTAGCCTAAAACGAGGATGTTTTGTTTAGAGAGGCAGCTCCTTGGGTTGCTTGGTGCATTCTCGGCAGCTGATGTGCCAGAGCCTCGCTCTTGGCTGGCTGTAGGAAACAAGACTCGGGCTACAGGTGACATAACAGGTAACCCCTCTCTTCTCTGGCTGCAGGCATTCGTCCTTACAAGTGTGAGGTTTGCAACAAGGCCTTCACGCAGCGCTGCTCGCTGGAGTCACACCTGAAGAAGATCCACGGCGTGCAGCAGCAGTACGCCTACAAGCAGCGGAGGGACAAGCTGTACGTGTGCGAGGACTGCGGCTACACGGGCCCCACGCAGGAGGACCTGTACCTGCACGTCAGCGGCGTCCACCCCGGCAGCGCCTTCCTGAAGAAAACCTCCAAAAAACTGGCAGCTGTTCTGCAAACCAAACTGAGCCCCGTCCTGCAGAGGAACTCCAAAGAGGATGGCAAGGATGAGTGACACGGGGGGCTCATGGCGCTCGGCAGGAATGAAGTTTACATGTAGGACTATATATATTATTTTTCTAAGAACCATTTTGAAAGAAACACCTGAAATTAAAGGGATACTTTTGCTAACGGGACTCTCTTGATGTTGGTAAAACCTCAGCTTGACAGAAATATTCCCATTTGTGATGGAAACATCAGACTTTTTTTTTTATCTGGCCAATAAAAATGGAATGCTTGCAAAGGCTGTCACCTCTCGGATGGAGTATTTACTGAGCTGACTTGGGCAACATGTTTTCTGTTTCAGCTCTACCACAAGTCTGAACACCCCTGACAAATGAGTTCACCTTTCCCCAGTGTATTTTGTAAACTTAGTAACTGTTACATCCCATGCGAATTACTTATGAGAGGTTTGGGTGAAAAGTGTTGGTTAAGAGCACTACTGGTACGTGGTTCTATGCAACATTAATTAAAGTGCCTGAAGAACAGGAGTGCACTGTATCAGCAAATGAGTTAAAACGTGCAAACACCCTTAGCTCTGCCCCCTGTGCAGTCTGCTAACAATTTATTGGAAGTGTGATCCAAGGTGAGCTGGAACTCTTCCCAAAGGATGCAGAATGTTTTCTTCCCAGTTTCTCTGCTAGCAAATGATGTTATTCTAGGGCAGACCTTTGGTTGTGTCTTAAGTACTTGAAGCCATGAACTTACTTTTATCATGTTGATATACAAGTGAAATCTTAGCTCTGATGTTCCTGGACTTGCCACGCTCACTTTGAAGATTATTACCACATCCTTTTAACATACACCAGTAGCAACCCAGAAACCCAAAGAAAGCACTGTAATGACTTGAAAATAAGTATTTTCTGTCATGTTGAAATGCAATTTTGTGCATATTTTATGGTATGTGTGTGTGTGTTTGGGGATTTTTTTTCTCTTTTATATTCAAGTGCCTGTTCATTAATACAGCAATGCAGTGGAAAGGCGGACTGAGCCTGTGTTTGCTTCAGGAGATCAGTGCAAAACTGCAGGCACCAATCTGGCTGCTCCTCTGTGACCACTATCAGTGTAGAAGGTTCCTCCCACCTAAAATACAAAGTCAGGCTTAGCCACGACTGTCACAATCATTGCTACTAAAATGAGACATTTTGAGCAACTTTTCAAGAATTGTAAAAAAATCTTTTCCAACTTGCTTCAGTTTTGTACAGGCACCTGCTTGGGTTTTTGTGGGGAAAAGATTCTAGGGGTCTTAAAGCATTCCCAAGGATATTAAGACTTTATTCAGCACAACTGTTGGTGCTCAAGATCTTGAAAACAAGGATAATAAAGTGATGCCACTGTGTTAAGAACAAACTTATCCTACATAGCAGGAAAGTTTGTAGAATACTTTAATAAATGGGAAGTTGCTGGGACAAAAAGCATCTGAGGTAAATTAGAAGATCCTGACTTTGCACAAAGAGCTAAAGCTTGTGCATATAAGACTCCCAGGTCTTATAACCAAGGAGTGTAAAGGGAAGGTTGCTCACTCTGCCATGGGATTAATGTTCACCTGACTGCATGGGATTTGTGTGCTCAGCTCTGCTGAAACCTCAGCCCTTCCCCTGGCACAGCAGAGCTGTGGCTGAAACCCTTCCTCTCCAGCCAGAGACATGTTTTGTGTGTGTACCTGCGTGCACGGGTTGGTTTTTTTTATCCTTCCTGCACCAAGTGTTGCTTTTGCTCTCCCTCCAGTGTCACTGCCACAGCACATCCCTGCTGACAGAACCACAGGCACAGCGAGGTGAGCACAGAAAGGATTCACAACAAAAGAGAAAAGGAGTGGTACCAGGGCACAGGGAAAAACCCATCCTGGATGGAGAGCAAAGCTCAGGGAAGCTGGATGTCAGAGCTGAAGAAACTGCCCCGGCTGCCCAGCAGGTTTTTCTGCAGAGGACAGACAGTGCCTGTAGCAGTGCCCTGGGCCCATCACTTTAACAGTCTAGCAACTTAACTGAAACTGGTCACAAAGTGTGCTGGGGTTTGTGTGACACTGGTGACAGCCAGCTGCCCAGTGCTGTTACAGGACAGACCAGCTTGTGCTGCTCCAGAAATGCTCCACAGCTCAGCCAGGGATGCCCAAGGCAGCAGCCAGGCTTTCAGAAGTGACAGTCACGAGTGACTCCCACCGCTGCTGTCTTTTGAAGGCTCTCTGCCTCCCCCTGGCTCTCTGAGGTACAGACTCAGCTGGGACTTAGGTTTACAAACTGGCTTTGCTGGAAGCCTTCCTCAGGCACAGGGTTCTGGCTGATTTTCTTGAAGCTTAGGGGTTGGTCATAATTTTATTTGTAATCTGCAGTGTTATTGTGAAAACTCATACATACAATTCTTAGAATACAAAGAGAATGAGGGAAAAAAGCTTTCCAGAGCAATGCTGCCTGACATGATCAAGGCTTATTCTCTGCTTTACAGACTTGATTTTATATGCTTCAAAAGTAAAAGTTCTGTTTCAAAATATTTATTCACAAACTTGTTTGAAAAAAAAACAGACCAAAAACCAAAGAGAAACCCATAAAAACACAGCCCCCGAAAGCTAACCAGCTCTTCACCCCTCAGAAGGCCCAGCCTCACAGCCACAGGCCTGCTTTGATACAGAAACTTATGACACTGGGGATTGTTCCACGGGGTGGGCTCCTTGTTGGCTCACACCCACAACAGCGTCAGGAAAGCTCAAGGCAGTGGCAGCACAGAGCTCCCCAGCCAAGGCACACAGCCCCTCACAGCGCTTTTCCGTGGGCTGGGTGTTAAAAAACCTGCAGGAGGAGCCACTAGCAGCAGCCAACATTCCCACCTCTCAGAACACTTGCTGGAAATTCCTGTGAGTGTTGGTTCCAATTCTGCTCCTCTCTTGTGGAGCCACTTCTGCTAAGTGGCCACTTTGCTGTACTATCCTAAACAAGAACTAATGAGGACTTTCATTATAACTCTCAGCACAGGTTTTCCAGTTGTAGCTGTAAGAAAAACCACAAATAATAACAAGCCTGATGATGGCATAAGCAAGAACTGACTGAAACCCAGTCTACTATATCCATTTCTTTATCACTTGCATTTCTCTCAGCTCATACATCATAGATGTTGTTTTGCTTTAGTTCACCAACTCCATTTTCAAAGACTCAGTTCTGCAACATATTTTTTTTTTCTCAAAAATCATGAAAAAAAGATTATTTGATCAAGAGGTTTTACTTGATAGTAGAAACTTTTCTATCAACCTTAGGCTGTATAAACTGAATGGGATAAAAAAGAGAGGCTAAATAAGTTGGCATTGCTCTGCCTGAACTGCTGGGGTCACCTACAATATAAGCAAATAGATATTTCCCATTTTAAAGTTATTCACCTTTTTGGGAGGGGAGAGGGGGGAACCCTACTAGAAAGAAATTACCCCAAGTTACTCAAAAAAGAACACAAAAGTGGTACATTTAAACAAAGGGTTCCTCCTTTGTCTCTGTGCTCAGACCACTTGGTTGTGCTTAGTCTGGGTCAGTTTTTGTCCATGTACTCCTCCAGGCGCAAGAGCCACTTGTTCCAGTACTGAGAGCACAGGTCAGGATCCATGAAATGCTGATGTGCCGGGGAGCCGTTCTTGTAGGCAACCACAATGAGCCCACAGCGAACCTGCAGCACAAACAGGGGGCTGTCACAAATCTGACATCTGTGTGCAACCCTAAGAGCTAAACCTCACTGCAAAACATCTTCCTAACATACACATCTCACATAAGACATGGGGAATAAAATGGGGCAACAGATTACCATAAAACACTTGGAGACTTAACATTCAAATGCTTCAAAAACCCTGAGCCCAGAGCTCTGAGCAACTCCAGTGAAAACCAGGGGACACGAACTCTGAGGATGAGTAATATTTAAACCCTGCAGATGCCAGGAAAATTGCCAGAGACTGATGCCACCCTCCAGCTTCAGTCTGGATAGAAATGGTTACTTAGGTATGATCTGATACCTTTCATACCTGACAAATCCCAAATCCCTAGTAGCAGGAAGCTACTAGCAGAATTCCAGCCCATATTTCACCCTGTAATGATCATGTCTGTGTTGTGCTTGTGTTCACTGACATCTGCAGTATTCTAGAAAGTCCTTTGCACAGCATACGAATTAACCTGCTCTCTTCTGCTTTGTATTTTCCCCCTTCAATATGTGTATTGAGGTAAAAATCCTTCAGGCCAAGCAGGCAGGCTAGAATTGCTTTTGGAGTCTTTAAAAACATTATTCCACAGTCTTCTGATGAAGTAATTCACAACACACTGCTTTTCCCTGAGGAAGCACAGTACAGCTTCCAGACACCAAGTGCATCACTTAGTCCCTCATTTGCTAGTGGGACACAGCAAGACAGGATGCAGGCATGCAGGCAAGGACCTCCCATACCATTTTCTTGTTTGCAGGTTCTTTTGCTTTATTTCCTCTCCTGCCCTTTCCTACTCTTGACACAAGCAAAAATCACATATGACAGAAGACAGGGGATTTTGCCCAGATGCCAAGGCCCTGGGAGTTCACCTGAGCATCCCTTGGTCCCACTGATCACTTCCTTAAAACCACTGAAAATTCTCTACTGGCAGCCAAGGGCAGCAGGACTAGCAGGAGTAGTGGAATTATTTAACAGCATGATATCTTAACCTGATCTCAGGCTGGGCTCCTTTGTTACAAATCCTACCAACACTTCCATGACGGGCAGCAGGTTCTAAAGGCAGGAAGAAATGAAGATAACACAGGCATTGCTGCTTGTCTTGGCATGCAGCAGGCCTACTGACCTGGAAGTCATAATTGGCATCATGATTTATGGCTCCAATATATGCTGCAACCTGTAATGGGTTGTCATAAGTATTCTGCAGAAATGGCTTTGGCTTCTCTGATGTTTTCCAGTCAATCACACACAGTTGGCCCCTGGCACAGGAGAACAAGACATGACAATGGTTTAAACTTAAGTTTAGTCACAAGTAAGAAATAAGGGCTGAGACAGCACATACAGACTTTTCA